ATTTTTTTTTTTTTTTTTTTTTTTGATGAAAAAGTTTGTGTTTAGAAATATAAATTTATCTTTTTTTAACATGTTATCAATTTTTAAAAATACTTTAAACAATTTTATTCTTAAAAATTGGTTTCATCTAATTTATATATGTTATATTTATATCGTAATTTGTCTAATTCTTTTCAAAACCGTTTATTAACATTATTATTAAATAATGATAAAAATAATGACGAAAATAAAATAAAGGATAAGATAGAGAAAAATAAAGAAATTGATAAAATTGACAAGAATGAATTTAATCAAGAGAATAATGATGGATTAAAATATCAACCAAGTATTAATGATATATTAGATCTTTTTGGTTCAAACCAAACAACAATAACAACATCATTATCATCATCATCTATTTTTAAACAAGAACAAGAAGAATCTTCATCATCAAAAGATAAAAAAGAGATGGATAATTTTTTATTTAATTTTTCATTAAATGAACTCAAAAAATCTTTATCACAAACTATTTCATTATCAACAATATCATTATCTTCAACATCATCTTTAAATAATGAGATAGCAAAATGTCTAATTAATTACAGTAATGATAAACCAGTTTTTTAGATCTGGTTTGGAAAATATTTTGAATATAAAGTTTTTTCATCCAAGTCAATTACAGATGTAGCAAATTTATTAAATTATTTTAAATATTTGTTATTTTTTTTTTACTTTTTTATATAAACTAATTTAAGCCTTTTTTCCTTTCAGAAATACATCTCTCAAAAAGGAACCAAAACATCAGGCATCTATTTATTTAGCCTTCATCTTAAAATATTAGATAAGGCAAAAGATAGAAAATGATGTACACATATATTAAAGTCTAACTAATCAATACAGTAATTCCATTCCATTCTTACAAAACGAGCTACAAATATTGGAAAACATATGTTAGTTGAATTTAATAAGAAAGCACTGAAATTTTACAATCCAGATGATATGCTAGTATTGAAAAGTATATATTATTCTGTTAAAAAAACATACGATTGATATTAATTATGGAGACGAAGATAAAGCTAAAAAGAAATAAAAAAATCAATCAATAGTTAGAGTATTGGATGAAAAAAACATTTCAAGAGATCCTTATCGACATTTATGTGTTTTAGAGTTTTACCTACCTTGTGAAGGAGCAGTATTAAAAGAACGTCAGAAAATAAATGAAGAAATGGCTCAACTCATACCAATATCAATAATAAACGTAAATACTGAAAATCAAGTGGATTAATCTGAAGAAGTAGATATAGAAGATAAAGCCATAGTATAAGGAGTAATTGATGCAGCTGGTAAAGATAATTACAGGAATATTAAAAACATTTTGCAATATTTAGTTCTTAATCTTATTTACAAAAGAATTTTGATATAATCCAACAATTCATCTTCGAATCTCTAGGGATGGAAGAAATGTTGGTAGAAAAGTAAAGCACGTTATGATCACAAAAGCTATTTTGGATGATAAAAGTACTCTACACCAACCAAATTACTATTATTATACAACTGTACTTTATTCTGGATGTGAAGATTCAAGATTATAATTCTTTATCAAATATGATGATTCCATTTTGTAATGCTTTAAGAAGTTTAAAAAATCAAGAATTAGTTTATATTAATAATATAAAGTGGAATTTCCAGCTGTATTTTTCATTTAACTGGAAATTTTTAGCAATTTGCTTGGATTTTAATGGCACTTACAGTAAAAATTTCTGCTTTTGGTGTACAATTAGTAAATTACAATAAGGAGATCTATTAAAGGATTGGATAATTAGCAAAGAAATACTGTAAATAAATTAGTTGAGCAAAACAATTACTATAAAGGACATTCCAAAAAACCACTTTTTGATATGATACTTCTTAATCATTGGATTCCTAATAAATTACACGTAATGCTTCAAATTACTGATTGATTGTGAAGTTATCTAATAGCAGAATTAATGGAACAGGATATATTTAACGATATTACATGAAAAATAATTATAGATGAGATGAAAAAAATTAAAGTAAATTTTTAATTTTGGCAAGATCAAGGATCTAAAACTTGGAATTATATCTCATTAATGGGAGATGATAAATTCAAAGTATTACAATTTTTTGACTTAATAAAAATTCTTTTAAGAAAACATACTACAATGATACAAGATTTGTAAAACAAATTTTATAAGCTTTACATAAAAATGAAGAATCCTATAACAAAAGCTGAAGATTTGCAAAAAATTAGATTACAAATTCAAAAAAGGCTTATATCAACCTAATAATATGACTCCATATATTCATATATTGGTTCATCATGTTCCTGAATTCATGGCAATTCATCAGAGATGGGAATTAAAAGCATTTCCTGCAGTAGTATTGAAAAAAAAAACTACAACCATGTTTCTTATTTTTTTCGTAAGATAATAAAAGATGATGAAAAAAAAAAATTTCAATTATTAGCAATTATTGAAATTCTACAACATGAAAATCGCACCCTCTTTTATAATCACAATAATACTCCTTTAAATTACCAAAATTCCAAAAAATTCGCATTAAAACTTAAAGAAATGTAATTTCTTTCATGTATAAATAAGATTGTACATTATACAACATTCATTAATAAAATATAATTTCATTGTATAATGTGACATTTTTTCATATATTAACTAAATTTTCATTATTATGTGGTGTTTTTTTTCTTTAAATCAGTAGAAAAAGATGTGATGATAGTTGACTAAATAAATTAAATTACTGATTAAAATTTAGCAAAATAATATTTTTGTAGCCTTATTGGCTAATATTCTTATTTTTTCTTACTTTTGAAATCTACTGATACAGCAGTTTTATCTAACTCTTACTTTATATATATTTTTAAAAATTTGAAAAGAAACTATTAATTTATTTAAAAAAAGAATTTGAATTGGTATTTAATATAGACATTTATTTTCACTGAATTATAGCCTAACTATTAAAAAAATGAAAATAAATATGATCTGTTCATGTGAAATTACCATTGAAATCAATATTTTTTTGTTGCTTCCATTTAACTACAAGTTGCCCACATTTGTATCTTAGTTTGTGCTGTTTAGAAGTCTTTATAATAAGATTTTCTTCATCAGCTTCAATGTTACTATCATTATTATAAAGCATAATGTAAGTGCATTGTTGTTGATCATAAAATTTGACCCTCCACTCTTGCATTTCTAGAATATTTGCTGATACTTGATTTGCCAAAGTTCTACGAAATATACACTTGTAAATACTCTTTCTAGCTGAATAATAATAATGTATATGACCTTTAAATACTGCGTAAAATTAACTTTCTATAGCAGGAACAGAGACTGTTTGTTTCCCTAGTTGTTTGTGTTCTTTCAGTAATCGCTTATGAGTTATGAATATAATGAACTAAAATGCCTTTATAGTACTTTCAGGCAGAATGTCAATATTAGGATATAAAATATTGTATTTTGTAATAATATTAAGATGTCTTATTAATCCTCCTTTTTTCTAAACAGTTTACCAATACACATTACATTCAAAACTAGTCATTGGAATTACCAGACGTGAGAGAATAATATTATATTGACTCATATTACCTAAATACAAAAATTAAGACATATATAAATTATAAATTTCAGTAAAATTGTACTAAATACATTCAATATACATACTTTTAGAGAAGATGGATTTAATAGTGAGGAGATGGGTTTGACGTGACACTTGTTAATATTTTTTTGAAAAATTTAAATTGCTAAAATTCAGTCTAATTTTAACTGATTAGTATCAAAAAATCAGTTATTAATTTATAAATGATTTGTATGATTTATATAGTAATGCACTATTAGAAATTGGCAAAGTTTCAGAATTAATTAAAAAAATCAGCTATACAAATTAATATGTTCCAGTAAATAATAATTATATAAAGCATTCTTGTATAGTATTTTCTATGCCAGATTTAAAATCACAAATTTTTTTATATATCAACATTCTAATTTTAAACAAAATTTAGCAAAATGAGCAAATTGGTATATTAATAGAGATACTATATTAGCAGATATTTATGATGAAGAGGGTTGAAAAACATTTAAGTCAAATAGAAATAATGATTAACCTTGATTGGTTTTAACTTTTTAATCGAACAATATATAGTACAGAAGTGATTTATGGAGTAATATGCAATTTTTCTTATAAAATCTAATTTAGACAAAAGAATATGCTAATCCTAAGACTACTTTCAGGACTACATGAAGTATATGTAGATAACATAAATCATTTTTTATTGCCAATTGTTACAAAATTACTCAAATTTTGAATAGGTATTATTATAAAAATGCTGAATAATTTAACTGGTAAAATAGTACAAATGGCAATTTTCTGTTGTAATAGCGATATTTCTGCTGCAAAAAAATTATGCAGCTATATATCAGTATTAGCAATTTATTATTAATGCTACAAATAAACTAACAATAGTAATTTTGGTAATTTTGATAATATGACTAATTAGTTTAAACTAAGGGATTTAGAAAATTTCTGACAAAATGCTATTATATAATGTAATTGTAAAATAAAAGATAAAAAAAATCAGTATATTTCAAATAATCTTGTTAGATAGGCAGAATTGTTAAGATTATCTTATTTCAATCCAATCAGATATTACGTTATAGATCTAATGCATAATTTATTTTTTAAAATTGCTAGCTGAATTGTAAAATATTTATAGATTGATAAAAGAAAAATATTTAAGGATGATTTTAAAATTATGAAAAAATGAACGAAGCTATTAAACTGCCAGTTAATATAGATTAAATTTTAAATAAAATATCAATAGGTTTCTGGATTCACTACTAATCAGTAGAAACTCTTCATTTTGGTATATTTAATACCAATAATGTAAAATTTACTATCAGTAAATGGGCGTGTGTCAGTTAAAAAGGGGGAAATCTACCTCAAAACCAAATTTGAGGTTTTTGGCTTATATTGTGTAAACCATCAATGTACACTATTTTCACTTAATATTGTATGCCGATAAGCATAATAAATTATCGAAATAAAATCAAATAACTGAAATATGCTATAGGGACGATCATTTGATTATTTGACGATCATTGACTTATTTAGCAATAGCATGACGTAAATGATGAAGGTAAAGTCACATGATATGGATAAAAGTTTAGCCACCAAATTTCCCCCCTTTTAACTGACACACGAAAGCAAAATGTTTTTTTTTGCAAATAAGTTAATTTCATTTTTCTCAAAATGATGAAAACGTAGATTTCCCCCTTTTTAACTGACGCACGCCCAAATGATTGTGAAATTTTAGGAATTTTCATAAAAGCCTATTTCTTATAAGTTTGCCAAATTATTAATATTTAAAATTGATTAACTTATTGAAAAATATTATGATGAAAATTTAATTACATCAAATATAGTATACCTTTCCTTACATATAGCTAAATACTATCATGATTATGGTCTAATATACTTTTTTAATGTTGTTTATTTGAATAAATGAATGGGATCTTAGGTAAATATTTTAATAATGAATGTCTTAAATTTTAATTAATATATTATAAATTTGCCTTTTAGATTTTTATTTTAATTCAAAATGATAGATTGAATTAGAATTGCTAAAAATTATTGTGTAGTTGTAAAATCAATGATCTTATATCTATTTAATTAGCAATCAGAAGCTTATTAATGGTCTTAAATTAATTGATTTTGGCAAATAATTGATTCATTAGCATATTTTGTAAAATTTACTTAAGATAACAAATTAATAAAATTATACTCATGAATGGTGCAATTTTATTTTAAGTATATATTGTGTCTTCTAACTATTGATGAAAAAATGCATAAACTTGTTTATATTAAATGGTATCTACCGATTAATGATCATTAAATTGGATTTTATTATTAAACTGAATAGAATGATAACCACAGTATTAATATTGAATTCTGAAAACTTAATAAATTTTATGAAATATTGTGATAGTATAATTCCAATTTATAATATTTATAGCCAGTTTATTTTTATTAAATTTACAATTATAACAAATAATAATAATAGCAGATAGACGAAAAATAAAAACTTATATAGCAGTAATACCGATTAATAGGAAGTTCCATTTATAATTTCTATTATTATTAATAAATCATAATAAATTGGTTATTTTATTTTATACATATCAAGTATATTTATTAAATATTCATATCAAATGTATTATCAAATATTATAAATTTAGTAAAAATAATGTAATATGTATGAATGGTATTATTAAACTAATAGATTAATTTATAGCTACCAATCAGTTTATACCTATTGGATTTAGTTTTATATATAGTAATAATTATGTATTAAACCAAATAATGACTATTAAATAATTACCTAATTTATTTAAATTAATTAATCCTTTTAATCCAGATAGCCTAAATTTTTTACATAGTTATTAATTGAATATATGTCCTATTGATTATTAATTTTTGGCTAACCTATTAGTTTAATAGTTACCAATAGGGTATATGCTCAATTTTTTAGCTTTTAACCTATATTTGTATTAGATATTACTTTATTTATATTAATTATATTAAACTACCACTTGAAAGATTTTTAAAATCAAATCTTTATTCTATATTTTTTCAGTTTTAATATATTTTAGTATTTCTTAAACTGCAAAATTCATTATATATGTAATACATTTTACATAATTTTATTTATAATAAAAATTTATACAATTTTTAATGCATACTTTTTTGAATTCTTTAAATATTATTGTTTGCTATATTGTTAGTTATAATTGCTAAAATCTAATATATATTTTATATTTTTATAATAAAAAACAATATTAACTTTATGAGTATTTTTTTATTCTGAAGATATTTTATAAATATATTTTCTAGATTTTTGCTTAAAGATATTATGAAAATCTGAAAAATTAATAAAATTAACAAAAATATTTTTTAAATTCCAATTAGCATTAATATAATAATATGCTATTTCAAAAAGTTAATAATATTAGAAAAAGCTCAACAGAAATATTTGCTAGTTAAGTGGAGTATTTTAGAGGTTTATATTTATGATTACATAAACTAATTACTATAATTAAATATTGATCCCTATAAGGGTAAACAAAAATAAAAAATAAAAAATACATTCATCCAATGTAAAGCTTATTTTTTTCTGAAGGATTCTTCTTTAATTAAACTTATTTTAGCAATTAATTTAATAATTTAATAATTTATAAATTCTTTAATTTTATTAACTATTTTACATAGTTATTTATAAACTATATCTACTAATAGAATTAATGCAATTAGGTTACATAGTTTAATTAGATTGTAAAATTTATATTATGGTAAATGGCTGATTATTTATAATAATTCAAAAAGCAAATTTATTGTGGATTTTGTTTTTAGTAAACAGGACTATATCAGCCAAATTATATTTACATCTCTACTATAAATCTGTATAAATATTTTTGTATTGTGTTACCTGGGATACTTGCGGCTTAGTCACGATAACGGTTTTTATTTGAATTCTGTTTTTTATGAAATTTTGCCGATCATATCAGGTTTACCACATGATTAAATATCATAAAATTAATGCTTCTTTTAAAAAGTAATGCTCCCTGAATTAATATTAATTATATAAAATATTATCAGTTATGTTAATTAAAATACGTTACTAGTAAAACCAATTATTTATTGCCGTCTTTTAATATTAAAAGTAATTCTATAATTCAGTAATTTCTTTGTCAAATTATAATTTCAAAAATCGGACAAATTTCCTAAAATTAGAATAAATTCATGTTACAGTACATTATTGACTTTATCAATCATTCAATCATTGCGAAGAAATATTCAGGTGTTGATCAACGGTTAAATGAATAAATATTTGATTTTACGGATCAATTGCTTTTTTTAGCTATGAGATATGGATGAATCTTGGAATAGAACAAAACTCAAATGAAAGACCAAAGATTTCTTTATAAAATATGTAATTGTAATTGAGTTTATTTTTATTTTTAATTTTATGACGACAATAGTTTAAAAATTCAATAGAATGTTTCAGTTCTGAAAAAAAAAAAAAAAAAAAAAAAAATTGGTATATGTACAATGAAAATTTATTCACGTTTTAGACAATAATAATTATCGGCATTTATACATAGATAGAATCTTTGAATCAAAGATCAGACTTTTATCCCTTGAAAGTTGAAACGTACCGGTTTTTCTTATTACCGTCGAGTCAAACAAATAAACAAATAAATAAATTTGTACCACCTTTATTAGTTACATGAATGTTTAGTATATGTTTAGTATATATTACCTTTTTCGATTAATTGTAAACCAATAAAAAATAATTGTTTTTTTTTGTATTTAATTTTGGCCGAATGAGCTTAAAATTTGCATAATTATAATCAACGATCTAATATAATCTAATATTAAATTAGACTTAATATAGTAAATTTATTTTAGATTTATTTTTTTTTTAAAATTATTTTTTATTTTATATTTTTGTTTCTGCAAACGAATTCCATTTCGCCGAATGGCTGTTTTTGATGTCATACATATACAGTATATAATAATCTAATAATAGAATTAAAGGAAAGCGAGAGAACATTTTATATTTTAGTGATACATGATGCATAATTTGTAAACCCCCCTTACAGCAAAGAATAATTATTTTTATTTTAAAATATTCTCTAACCGTGTAACATGTGGTTTTTTTAATGAAATATATCAGAAAGAAAAAAGCAAAAAAGCAAAAAAAAAAACTAAAAAAAAGTTTGTAAGAGGTATGAAACCGAATTGACAATATTTAACAATAGAATGATAATACAAAGGAATCATTTTACCCTTATTAAACCGATCAAAATTAAATTATCAATCCATATTTAGTAATCTGTATTTACAATGCATAAATAGTATTTTTTTTTTTTGTAACGTCGTGTAACATTAAATTGTGATCCATATATAGAGGTCAAATTAATCTGATGCGTTTAATGCGTTGAACTTTTTGCACTGGCTGGTACCTGTTTGAAAAATTTTTTTTTTCTCGCAAAAAACTTACTTCTTTAGATTAACAATCCCTGCAAAAATTTCATAATAGTTCTAATACTCTAATACGGCTTTATTTCTTTAGAAGAGAACTACAGTTCTCATTCCTAATATAATTTTATTTAATGAGAAAGTTTTGAAAATTTATTTATATATATATTATATTTATTTATATGTTTGCTTTTTTGTCTGTGACAAACCGGTAAAACTATATACACTGTCCCTAACTAATTATAAAAAACTGTACATATTCTAAAATATTTATATTTTATCATTAATATCCATTCTATCTTCTTTGAGTAGAGAATTATTCAAAAGTTGACAGAACAAAGACTCATTTCATATAACTGTAATACCAAAACAAACTCCCCTTATTAAAGAATAATTAATATATTTTATTTATTATTTAACAATATAAAACTTCTTTTTTGGAAAAAAAATTAAATCAAAAAAAAAATGGCTTCGAATATAGGCAATTCAAATTTTTCAAATTCAAAAGATGAAAATAAAGACAATAATAGTGTTAATAATAATAATTATTATAACCAACAACAACAGCAAACATCATTAAATGCTATGGCATCATCCGGTGATTCAATGTCAATGACAAGTTCTTTTAGTCATTCTCATTTAGAAACAGATACAACTTATTCTCATGATCTTCTAACAGGTGGAATAAGTCGAACTTCATCTCCCGCTCCATATCAATTACAAGAAAATGATACATCATCACGTCAAGTTCAATTCCCAATAGCGGAAAATAACATTAATAAATCTTCCCCTCAACAACAAGAACTTTCACAGACAGTATACAAACCTCCAACTGAACCTCCACCTTCAGTTCCTCCTTATTTGTCTCCACCTCTAACTAATTATGAACCACCAAAATATACTCCTTCAGCTGATCAATTCCGTTCCAAAAATAATTCGGACATTATACTTGAAGCTGGTATTTCAAATTATAATAGCAATATTGCTGAGGAAATAAAAGCATCTTTACAATCTGATCAATCAATTAGGAAGGGTAAATATTAAATTTTTACTTGAAGATCGCAAAAAAAAGGAATTATTAATTAAATTTTTTTTTTTTTTTCATAGCCTTTGTGAGAAAAGTATACCTTCTTCTTACATTTCAATTGCTACTTACAATAACGCTAACCGTATTCTTTATGTATTGTGAGCCAGTGAAAAGATTTGTTGCTGAATAGTACGTAAAATTTCGCTTCGTTTAAAAATATTTTTTTAATTAAGTAATTTTCTAAAAAAAAATAATTTTTTTTTCACATATATTTAGTCAGTGGTTATTCTTTGTATCATGGATTATGACATTTGTTTCATTATTAGTCTTATTTTGGCAACGAAAGAGAAGTCCTTTAAATTTATTTTTATTATTATTATTCACTATATTTATGTCATATGGTATCGGTACAGTAGGTAAGATAAAGAAATTTTCATCATATAGTCTAATATTATCTTACTCATTTCATTTGATTTAATTTAATTTTCATCAAAAATTTTTTTTTTAGTGTCTATGTATTCATCCAAAGTTGTATTGCAAGCATTCTTAATAACATTGGGAGTATTTATAGCATTGGAAGTATTCACATTTCAGTCAAAATATGATTTTTCATCGTGGGGTCCATTTTTATATGTTGCATTATGGATTGTAATATTTGCTTCAGTAATTGGATGGTTATTTCCTTACGATAAAGGATATCATATTGCTATAAGTGTTTTTAGTGCCTTGTTATTTAGTGCTTATATCATTTATGATACCTATATGATATTAAAGAGAGTCAGTCCTGAGGGTGAGTATTATTTTAATTGGCGCACCTTTTTTTTTAATTTTACCTTTTTTATTAAGTATTAAAATAATTTTTTTTTTTTTTTTAGAATATATATTAGCAACTGTAGATTTATATCTTGATGTAGTTAATTTATTTGTGGCAATTGTAGCAATTATAGGTGGAGGTGATCGATAGCATTAATTGATTCGTATTTGTTTTTGTTTTTTTGTGCATGGGTAGAAAATCTATTTATATTTTGTACCTTTTATGCACCATTACCTATTTTTAATTTCTCAATTCATTTTTATTCGATTTTTTTCTTTTTTTTTTTT